TGAATTAATACACATGCCAAATAGTTGTAATGCCAATTTAGCTAATTCTGGTATTACACCTTTTGCTATATCCCAAAAATCAACAATATTGTCATCAAATTAATTGTATGATTCTTTATTAAAAGGAAAATTTTTGCTCTGATATAGTAAAAATTCACGTAAAATGCATGTTGGCATTTTTCCAAACCATACATGATAGTAGTAATTTAACTATTGAGCGAAATGCGTGTAAGAAAGATTAGAAGTGTTAGAAGAAAACATTGAAAGCTAATATTTTGAATGCAAAATAATTGATAATAGAAGTAAAGGTTGTTCCTACTAAGCCCACTGATTTTCTAAACATACTACTATAAGGTCAGAAAAATTTACATCCTTATAGTTCGCAAAAACCTTGACAAGCCATCCAAAGCAGTATGCAATTTTGTGTAGCCTTGCAACATCTTTCTGAAGTTTATTTAGCACACAACACAGAGGAAATAGCAAATCTTGAAGTTCATAAAGTTGGTTTCAAAAATTATTATCTTGTATAATTAATATAATATCGTGTGAAAGTTCTTGTTTATATTTGTATTTTCTGACATAAATCGTTATCATAAAATTCCACTTTGAGAAGTGCTAACTAATCCAATTCTTACGAGTGAAAACTTTGTGGCCAAGATCTAATTTTTAATATAATTATTAAACATATAATTTTAAATAAGACAATAATTATACTTACTTTAAGCACGGCCTCAGTTTTTAAAATCGAATAAAAACAAAAATAATAACTGTTCCAATGTGTTTCAGCTAGAGTAACAAGGGAAATAGTTTGTCTATAACATGATATTTGCTCATCTCATAGTAATCTAGTGAAATATGAAGATGTATGAAAAAAACTCACAATACGTATTGCATTTGTTAACACTTTTTTGTATGTATTAGACTCTTTAAAAATATCACTAATAACCAGGTTAACTTGATGTACTATGCATGGTAAAAAAACTTTATCATGATGCTCAACTCTTAATTGTCGTCTATAAGTAATTCATTATATTATTTATAATATTTAAATATATATTTATATTTATTTAATACTTGCCTTGCAGCTACATATTCACCAGAAGAGTCTGATACATAACAGTTAATATTTATGCCTTTTTCATTCGCATCATCTATTATATTTTTAATATGAAGTTTCGCATTTTTAGTTCTTGACCGTTGATTGCTAATATCATATGCATTCCAAATTAAAGCTTTACCCTGAGACGTAATTAAAACAACACCAAAGAGATGCTCTCACTTAATATTTGTTCAGCTATCAAAGGCTGCAGTTACGCCAATTTCATCTGCATATGCTTGTTGTAAAATTTCTTCATTTAAATTTTTTGAAATTTTTCGAAGAATTCGATCACTTATTGCCCGTCAGTTAGGTAATTTTAAGGTCGGAATAATAAAATTAAAAACATCTCTTGTTTTTTGATTCTCTGTAAAGGTAAAAGAAAGACTATTTGATACAACTATACGTAGTACCAAGTTTTTAAAGTATAGCTTATCTTTCTCAGATAATAAACATACAATATAATGTGCAAAAGTTGCTTGCTTTGTCATTTTCAAAGCAGATTTATTAGTAGATGACGAAGTGGGCACTGACATTTCAGAACTTTCATCTTCAAATTCAGAATCATTTTTGGTGGCTATAATTTTATTCAAAAATAATTAATATATTGTATATACAGCATTATAGCTCATTGTTAATATAATTACCTTTTCTTTTTTTCTAGCATCTTCAGAAACAGGTTGTGAAAGAATTTCCAAAACTTCATCTTCATTATAATCAGCTTTAAAATTCTCACAATTTTAAAGATAGCTTCAGCATAATTTTGCCTTGTTAAAAACAGAATATTCAGGTTTCGTGAGAGCAACAGGTAAGGTATATCTTCATATACATGAAAGACAAACTGCCTTTTTGTTTGCTTTTGGATTGTCAGATACAACCAAATAAAAATATTCTCAGAAATTATGCTTTTTTTTACCTATCTTTAAAAAATATAAGGGTTGAGGCCCGCAGTTTTTATAAAATATATATTTGGTATGAGATAACAATTTTGTTTTTATATATACTAGAATTAGAGGCAGAGAGTTCCTCTTTAAATTTTGTAAAATATATAAAAGATCTATTTATGCTTTCCTTTTTTTTCTACAATTAACAATATTCTTATTTCAAGTTTCATTAACAAAGTGCTTTTTACACTTTTTCTTTTCTTTGCATTACCAATAATATTTTTTATTGATGTTCTACCATTTATTACTATTAGATAATATTTTCTTTCTTTCTTTTTCTTTTTTTTTTGCATTACTAACTATATTTTCTTTACCATATTTGCGTGAAATAACACCCACCTGCGCATTATTTCAAATCTATATGCGTTAATTCGAGTACATGCATGTGCGTTATTTTGAAACAAAGATCAAATTTTTACCAAATCTGATTTCTAATTACTTATTTACAATTAATTCCCTAATAATCTTCAAATAGTGCATAAATATAATGATGATTTATTAAAGTTAATATATGGAGTGTACGTTATTTCGAGATGTGATTAAAGTTAATATATGGAGTGCATGTTATTTTGGGATTGATTAAAGTTAATATGTGGAGTGCGCATTATTTCAGAACGCGATTAAAGTTAATATATAGAGTACGCGTTATTTCAGGATGTGCATATGCATTATTTTGAAACTGACAAATTCTGAGACAACTGATAAAATTTTGATCGCTGAATTCGATAAGTTATTGATTTCGGTCGAAATTAATAACTTATTGAATTCGGCGATCAAAATTTATCAGTTGTCCCAGAATTTATGAGAACAGCTGTAAGAAAATGCAATTTTTGAAATAACGCCTATGCACATTATTTCACACAAATACAGTAATGTTCTATTTATAATTTCATAAGTTTATGCTTTAATGAAGACTTTGATTGTATAATTTTACATTGAGCTCTCAGAGAACAAGTTGATTCATAATTAATATTATTCATATTATATTATTATTTTCCATATCGCATAATTCACCCCATCCTTTTACTTATCAGTAACGATGCCCCTTCTTTTCTAATTTAACTGACATCTACTACTCGAATTCATGCAGATAATACTATGTTTTATTCTATTATTTGATTTTGGAATTAGAACTGGTATCTGCATTATTTGATTTCGAATATTAACACTAACAATAAATTTTCATATTATTTGACTATTGTAATGTATCTACTTATGATTTTAATTGTAAATTAACTTTAAATAATTGAAGTTAGCATTTGGGTGATTTGAGGTTACGATAATATTGTGTTACAAAAATTACATTTTTATATAACGGTAAAGTTTCTCATGTGATATGTAAAGTATTGGATAGTTAGCAGTTAGATGCAGATTCACGTAAAATTATCATGGTTTTAAAAGTTTATGTTGCTAAAACTTATACAACAGTACCCAAAGTTATTTAAATTATATAAATTTATAACTCTAAGTTAGAGCAAGTAATATTTTTTATTAATGTTCTGATATGAGTTTAGAATAAATCGAATTTATTATCTGATTGACTAGTTCTCACGTGACTGTACATTAGTGAGATGACCTTGGTCATTTGTAAATGACCTAGGTCATTTGGTCATGAGTCATTTACAGATGACCTAATGACCAAATGACCTTGGTCATTTATAAATGACCAAGATCATTTGGTCACGAGTCATTTGCGAATGACTCAAATTTAAATGACCATAAATGACTAGTCATTTTAAGGTCATTCTAGGTCATTTACAAAATAGGCAAATAACCTGGTCATTTACCATTCCTGATATATGAACTAGCAGAATACTATGTTCGTGGTAATAGTGCATCTAAAATGAAGAGGAGGGAACTTTGGTGCAATATACAAACTAGCAGACTATGTTTATGATAATGTCTAAAATGAAGAGAAAGGAACTTTGGTGCAATATATGAACTAGCAGAATGCTATGTTTGTGGTAATAGTACACCTAAAAATAAAAAGGAGAGAACTTTGATACAATAAAGTAATAACAGTTAAACTAGAAATGAAAAGAAGGCTTTTAGTTCTTTATATGGTGTGAAAATAGACATAAAGTTCTTGCACTATAATTTATAGTTACTTTCTTTTTATTTTTATTTTTATTTTATTGTAATTTAAGTTATTAATTAGTCATGTATCAATATATGATAGATAATAATATATTAAAATAGTTTTATACTTTAAATACTGTAAAAATTGTCAGATAACCAATAAATTATAAGATATTCGATTTATTATGATTAATTCAAAATATAATATATTGGAATTATTATAATTATTATTTTACAATTGAAAAATAAATAATTTATGATGCCAGTTCATGCTTGAAAAGTATTGAAATTATATTTATCCTTCACATTCAAAAACTTGATGTTTTGGATTTACTCAGCTAAGAGATAAAAAAGTTTTTGTTTTTTTTTAGCTTTTTCTATTACAAAATTAAAAATTCTCTAAAAAAAAAAAAAAAGGTTCTACTACAAAATCCTGACATCAAAATAGTATCCAAAATAATATCCAAAATCCCAACAAGTTAAGATACCATATTTCAAGATTTTGGTAATATCAGGATTTTAGTTATCTGAATTGGGTGTCAGAATTTTAGTATTGTCAGGATTTTGGATATCATTCTGGATATTGAGATTTTGGATATTATTTTGGATATCAGTCAGGATTTGTATTAGAACAAAAAAAATATAAAAAGACCTTATTTCATCTCAATTCATAAATCAAATATCAAATTAAATCAAACTAACAAAAAAAACTATTAAAATAACAATTAAAAATACTACTATCAAATAAAATAGATAATTCTTCACAATCTTCACAAGGATTCTTGCCGCTCGACTATAGCCAAGATGAATTATAAGAGGATTTAATAAATGTTGAGGACATAATTTCATCAGATGATGAAAAAGAACATGACAATGATCCCATGTTCAACTTAGAGCAAAGCCTATACAAGTATGCTCTAGCTTCAGCAAAATTTGAAAATGACCTATAGAAAGAATTTAGTGCAGAAGATATACCAATTTTGCAAGAAATAAGTAACGAGGAAACTGGTGATGAATATACTGAAGAGATTTCTGTGATTTAGACAAAACAAACTACACTATATATCATAATCGATAATGATTATGAAGAAATATGACACTGTAATAGAGAATCTGCTAAGGAATTATGAGAATTAATCAGTGTCTAGGAAATTGACAAAGATGCTGTTAATGATGTTAATAAAGAACTTTATTGTCTTGGTGTATGTTCAAGACATTTTAATTATAATCAAAATACTGTGTATAGCAAAAATTTAAAAGACAAACACTTGACTGAAAAAAGTAAAATCAATTATCATATTTGTTTTTTCTGCAAAAAAAAAAAGTTTTTCTTTAGTCATGAAACAAGCTGTATAGAACATACATAGATTGTATACAATCAAAAACTACAAGTACCTTGTCATGTAATGGTTCTCTGCTCAGCTATTAATAAAAGCTCCTGCACAGAAAATACTCATAATTCATAGGAAGTTCGTTATGTATATTGTAAGTGTTATGAAAAGAATGGAGAGCATTTGCACGTATGTATGGATACAGGTAAAGCAGACCTAGGATGCATTGCAATACATTTAGATGATACTGAAACTACGCTTCTCTATTTTGCAAAGCTAATTGAAATAGTAGTATACTCAGAAAATGATATAATAAAAAAGAATTTACTTCAAGACCTCATTCCATATATAGAAAATTTTAATCTGAATTCGTCTTCTGCATCATTTAGCAAATTACCCAGCTTGTTTGTCATTAATACGATTCTCAAAATTAAAAAAATTGATTTTTCTAAACAACAACTTATACAAAAACCTAAAAAATATTAAGAATTTGGAAAATCACTTGCCCTTGAAGTTTTAAAATCACGCACTAGCTTAGCACCTTATAAGTCAATATTAGAAAGTCTCGATTCTTTGCAGCAGTATTATGAAGCAATACCAAAATGCTTAACAAGCCTTTTTGATAGTTTAATTCATACTTTGCTATTTCAAAAATATGAAATTGTTAGACAAAAACAAAAAGAATGCAAAAGCACTATGTAAAGGTTTAGTTATAATATGTTTACTCAGAGATTGGAACCGGTTTTAAACTCGAGTAATATTGGTTTAAGAGAATAAAATCGGGTTGAACCGTACGGTCATCAGATTTGAGTATTTGATTGTATATCGTAAATTAATGATCTACGAAATTATAACGATAAAGCGTCTAACTCGACAATTTATTTTACTGGAAATATTATTTTATCTGTCGAATGTTGTTATTA